CGAAATTGATAAAAGTAGGGTAGACATGTGGATATTATCCAGCTGAACAAAACGTACATGTATCTAACCGCTACGTTTCCCACAGATCTTATTTTGAGCTATTTTCTAAAATCCTATGGAGAAATCTCATTGCTTTTTTGTGGAGGGAAGCCATGCGCAGCTTACTTCCTGGTTTTAGGACGCGTCTCTCTCCTCCTCTTCACACACCACACTTTTCGCGGCACACGTACTTACAGCCAATCAGCTCTGAATTATGTGAGATGACGTATGGTGGGGATGGCAGCTCTATGGCCCTATGGTCATTATTTGTTTGCCACACACATTAAATAGGACAATACTCTGAGCATGCGCAGTGTAGTTTTTACAGTCAGCGTTCACTTAGACAGCGAGAGGGAGGGGCAGGATCGGGTTTTGTCCCACATGGCTCTAAACAGCTCAATAGGCACACACTGTAGACACTAATTAGAAGAACACATACTAAAACAGCAATGTACAGACGAATCAGATGATTAAACATATATCTTAAAATATATTTTTTATATTTTTTAATAAATGTTTTGCATTTTGTTGTAATCATTATTTTAATACTTTCTGCTGACACTAGGTGGGGCTGTGCCCCACCTACCCCTAATGACCAGTCGCCACTGGCCCTATCTCTCTGCTTTGTGCTGATGTCAAAATACTGGCTAAAATGTTGGCTAGGCGGCTGGAGTGTGTCCTGCCAACTATCATCTCTGCAGACCAAACAGGGTTTATAAAGAACAGACATTCCTTTCACAATGTCAGACGACTGTTTGATATTCTGTATTCACCAACCACCTCTGACGACCCGGAGCTGGTCATCTCAATGGATGCTGAAAAGGCATTTGATCGTGTGGAGTGGCCCTACCTGTTTTACACACTGAAATGTTTTGGCTTTGGCGATACACTTATATCTTGGATTAAGCTTTTGTATACATCCCCCCTTGCTTGTGTTCGCACAAATAATGACTATTTCTCCCTCAACCGTGGTACCCGACAGGGCTGTCCACTCTCTCCATTACTTTTTGCCATTGAACCTCTAGCAGTAGCTCTTAGGGCCAGTCAGATGTTGGGCATCTCAAGAGGTCGCATGGAACATAAACTATCCCTGTACGCCGATGACCTCCTGGTCTTTCGTTCTAGCCCAGACAAATCTATCCCTATTGTACTGACCGTGTTGAAAGAATTTGGGCAAATCTCAGGTTATAAATTGAATCTGCATAACAGCGAACTTGTGACAGTTAATGCGGCAGCCATAGCCCATCCCCTCTCCGAGTTACCATTCAGAACATCGCTGGAGCACTTTAAATATTTGGGTGTATGTGTAACTAAAAACTATTCGGAACTATTTGAACGTAACTTTTCCCCTCTCTTAGCTAGGCTGTCCCAAGACATCCATCGTTGGTCCTCTGTCTCTCGCTGGTCGTATAAATTGTATTAAAATGAATGTGCTGCCCAAGTTCTTATATCTATTCCAGAGTATACCTATTTTCCTCCCCAAACACTTTTTCCACTCTCTTGATAGCGTAATCTCACAATTTGATTTGGAACAAAAGCACCCCTAGAATCAAAAAAGACATTTTACAAAAGCCTAAACAGTTGGGTGGCCTTGCTCTACCCAACTTCTTGCTTTACTATTGGGCTGCAAACATTAGAACAATATTGTACTGGTGTCACACCAGCAGCCAGCCTCCATCATGGCTGCAGGTTGAAGAAGCCTCATGTAGTCCCTCTTCTCTGTTGTCCCTGCTGTGCCTCCCCCCAACATCGTCACCAACTTCACACTCCAGGAGTGTTGTAGTGAAAAGCTGCCTTAAAATTTGGAATCAGTTCAGGCAGCACTTTGGGCTACAGATAACACCTGTCTCTGCCCCAGTACATTCTAACCCTCTGTTTACTCCATCAGTCATTGACAGGGCTTTTTTGATCTGGAAAGACCTAGGGATTGTTTCAATAAAACAGCTTTACATCAGTGGCATATTTGCTTCCTTCGACCAGCTAACTCAAGCTTTCAATTTGCAGCGCATTCATTTATTTAGATATTTGCAAGTCCGCAATTTTGTTCACAATCATTTTCCTGGCTTCCCTGCCCTCCCTCCTTCTACTCTTGTTGATACAATACTTGATGTTAACCCTAATCGCAAAGGTTCAATTTCCATACTGTATAATACTCTTCTCAAAAATCAGTTAACAACCTCTGATTTTTTGTGTAATGCTTTGTCTGAGGAGCTTGGTGAGGATATAGACCCTGCCACCTGGGAGCATGCTCTGAGGTGGGTCCACTCATCGTCTATCTGTGCTCGCCATGGAGTTTTACAGTGCAAAGTGGTCCACAGAGTTTACTGGTCTAAATGTAGGTTAGCTCATATCTACCCTGACATTGACCCAAACTGTGACAAATGTCATCAAGGACCAGCCAATCTCAGTCATATGTTCTGGTATTGCCCCACCCTTGCTCCTTTCTGGGCTTGTGTTTTTGACTCCCTCTCATCCATCACATCTGCCAATATCCGACCCTCACCATTACTCGCCCTGTTTGGTGTCCTACCCACTGGCCTCTCACTGCTGTCCTATTTTGCTGAGCTTGTTGCCTTTCTCACATTGTTAGCAAGACGTGCCATTCTGCTGCGGTAGAAAGGCCCTTGCCCCCCCCCCCCCCCCCCCCCCCCCCCCCCCCCCCCGTCATTCTCAATGGATAAAGGATGCCCTTCATTTTATGAGACTGGAGAAGATGAAATACACTCTTCGTTTCTCGGAACAGAAATTCTATAAGATATGACAAACTGTCTCTTTGTTGATACCTTGTTCCACAGTATTCAACTGTGTATCAATCTCACTCCATGTAGGAGGTGTATTGTATGTCTGTTGTGCTCAAAATCTCATAAATAAATCATACAAAAAAAATTAAATAAAGTGAAAACATAAAGCAGATTCAGGCAGTAGTGGGATGGAAATTTATTTATCAAATGTGGATAGAGAATCAAACCATTCAGCTGTCTGTCGTATTTTATTTCTTGCCAGAAAGTTCAGTCAGTCATACAGAGAGCATACAGTCTGTGAGTGAAAGACGAAGAGTAGAGTTTGGGTTTCATATTCAAACGGAGAGAGGAGAAAGGGAGGGGTGAAGCTTGGTGATAACAAAGGAGCATTCTGGGAGTTAGGGAGGCCGTATCAGGATGTTCTCAGTTCACCTGAGTTGAAGGCAAGGGCGCCGGAAGCGGGGGGGGGGCATTGGCCCCCCCACTTTACGGCGGATGCCGCGGAACACTGTACACGGATGCCGCGGAACACTGTACACATCCCGTTTCAATAATTGCCCTCTACTCTAAAGTCGCATCTAAAAAGAACGCCATCTGATCTAGCTGTGTATATTTTGTTATTGTTGATTGTTATATTCAATCTCATTAGCTACAGGCATTTTTGAAGCTTGTAAAGGGAAGAACACAGCTCGCCTATCACTCGCCACTCTGCTCTTCCACAGCGCCGCTTCCTCCGCTGACATTATGAATGTAAGGCATAGTAATCATAGATAACACCGCAGGGTCCGTTACAGTTTGTTTTCATCTGATTTCAAATAAACAAAGTCTTGGCTTTCAGAATATTAAACTTGTTTCGGCAAATTCAGATGATAAATACAGCTTTGAAGCTTTTAACGGCATAATTACAAGCGGAGAACGGAGTAACTTGACGTCACAGCAAGCATAACAACAACCGGTGTTTCTCCTGAGAGTTTTCCCCGGGAAACAAACGCAAAAATACACAAACACACACACGTATACACACGCACACTCGCGAGCTCCCCCCAGACCAGTAATCCAAACGAAAATATCTTCCCTCCGTACTTTGATCATTTGCTCCGCTAATAATCAATCAGATCGATCCAGAGAAGAGGACACTTTAAAGGCCTTTTTCTCAAAATGATGACTCTGTGACAGTCATTATATAATGTGACATATTTTGCTTAATATAGTACAAAAACAATCTTGATATCATTAGAAAGCTAGGAATCTCCTCTTTCCAACAGTGTATACAACTCAAAATGTGTCTTCGGGTCAATGTGACTGATTTCGATGGAGCAGGTCACTTTGCATTAGGTAAAATACAGCAGGCAGACATAACAGGAAGAATATGTACATTTTAATCCAATCAAATAGGACATTGTCACACCATTCAAATGTATCCATGTACATTACAACCAATAACAAAGCTTAGATGTGTTTATTTGTTACGTTGTTTACGTTATGTGTTACGTTGTTCAGTGTGTCAGCCGTTAACCTAGATAGATAAACTTGCAAACATGTCAGAAGAACCGGCGCATAAGAAAACAAAATATAGTCAAACTAAGCTGAAATTCAACAACTTGAATGTCACATCCCTGACATCCACAACTCCGGAGCCTGGTCCTTCAACCATAGAACCAGCTCCAGAGCCTGGTCCTTCAACCATAGAACCAGCGCAGCCAGATGAACCCCAGCAGCAGCTCTGCGGCCGCAGAGACTGTAAAAAAAAAACAGTAACATTTGGTGCGTTATGTTAGAATGAAACAAATCAGATTTAGTCAGAAATGCGGGATAAATATGACCCCGGGAGGAAAACGGGAGTCTCCCGCGAAAATCTGGAGGGTTGGCAAGTAGGCTGTCACATACACACGCACTTTTTGGCCCCCCCACTTCTGAAATGAATCTGGCGCTGCTGGTTGAAGAGTGTAACTAACAACATTGCAACAAATCTTAATAAGGAATTTTCCCAAGCTTAGCTAAGAAGTGAAAGTAGTGAATATAGATTAACATTAGCAAATAAGAATCACACAATGATATTATTAAAGTAAGTGAGTATAATATTGTTCTATTACAGTAGGCGTATAGATTCACACTTAAAGTATTAGCTACAGAACAGTACAGCTCTAAGAGAAGAGAACATCTGATCCTTTGCAACAAACACTAGATGCTCTGTTTAGTTTTTACTGTGTGTGTGTGTAGGTTCCTGATGGAGAACTGGCTGCTGGACCGCTGGGTGCGTAACATCCTGACGGTTTACCCGGTGGTGATCTTGGCTCTGGTCGGAAACGTCTTCAAACATTTTAACCCCGATGATCCCACTCCAAACTCTGTGTTCATGGGTGAGTTTACCATAATAACCAGCCCCTTTCTGCAGTGAATATATATATATATATATATATATAGAGAGAGAGAATTCTTCCAGTGTCTGCATCTGACCTTGCTGCTCTGTATTGCAGGCTAAAAACATTAGTTTCCAATCCATCAAACCTTGGGATTGGTGATGTTGTCTATTTATTCCAAAGTCACATCAACATAAAATGAGCACAATAAGCTTATAATGTAAGAATCAGTCTTTCTAATGTTATATAAAAATTGCCTCCAGAGCGCTTCCGCTCATTTCTCCCGTGTTATTATCCAAAGTTAATGTAAACTTGAATAATGTACATCATTTGAATGTAAAAATTATGTTGGTTGTTGTTTGTAGAAGCTCCAGTGAATGAGCCCCATTAACTAAGTTTTAATAATACATTACATTTATAAAGTGCTTTTCCTGGTGCTCAAAGCGCTTTAAACATCACTTTAAATGGAAGATCCCCATAGGCCCACTCGATCGGATCGGTATCGGCCGATACTGATTCCGGCGATCGGCCCCAAAATTGCCGATTGGAGCATCCCTACTGACAGCCAATGATTTGGTTTTATTTATCCCTTATGTGTCCATCAGTGGTTCTGCTGGTGTTGGCCTGTGTGCTGCTGATCTCCCGCCTCATCACCGTCATCTGGAGGAACATGTGGCGGCCCCTCCACTCCCCCGGCTCGGCCCGGCTCATGGTGTCCCCCCTCGATGGCGGAGCGTTCAAGATCTTAACCTAATCACCAGGAAGCTGTGCAGCAGCTACTGTGGCCCTGCTGCCTCCACACTCTACAGGACTCTCTCCTGTGGCCCTGCTGCCTCCACACTCTACAGGACTCTCTCCTGTGGCCCTGCTGCCTCCACACTCTACAGGACTCTCTCCTGTGGCCCTGCTGCCTCCACACTCTACAGGACTCTCTCCTGTGGCCCTGCTGCCTCCACACTCTACAGGACTCTCTCCTGTGGCCCTGCTGCCTCCACACTCTACAGGACTCTCTCCTGTGGCCCTGCTGCCTCCACACTCTACAGGACTCTCTCCTGTGGCCCTGCTGCCTCCACACTCTACAGGACTCTCTAACCTCTACAGGACTCTCTAACTTCTACAGGACTCTCTAACCTCTACAGGACTCTCTAACCTCTACAGGACTCTCTAACCTCTACAGGACTCTCTAACCTCTACAGGACTCTCTAACCTCTACAGGACTCTCTCCTGTGGCCCTGCTGCCTCTAAACTCTACAGGACTCTCTAACCTCTACAGGACTCTCTAACTTCTACAGGACTCTCTAACCTCTACAGGACTCTCTAACTTCTACAGGACTCTCTAACCTCTACAGGACTCTCTAACCTCTACAGGACTCTCTAACCTCTACAGGACTCTCTAACCTCTACAGGACTCTCTAACCTCTACAGGACTCTCTAACCTCTACAGGACTCTCTAACCTCTACAGGACTCTCTAACCTCTACAGGACTCTCTAACCTCTACAGGACTCTCTAACCTCTACAGGACTCTCTAACCTCTACAGGACTCTCTAACCTCTACAGGACTCTCTAACCTCTACAGGACTCTCTAAACTCTACAGGACTCTCTCCTGTGGCCCTGCTGCCTCTAAACTCTACAGGACTCTCTCCTGTGGCCCTGCAAAGCTCCACTAGGGGCTGCACCCATGAAGGAGTGTAGCTAGTGATGGGGGTGCATACACAACATGGATATACACTTCTGTAAAAGAGAAAGCACTGAGTCTTTTCCTCTTCTCTCTAACTGCAATTCAGACAATACTACACTATCTTATAAATACTAATTCACTATTACCACTACTTGCCATCAACACTGTCTATATGATAAGTACTTTTCATACAAATGCATGTGGTTTGAATATGTTTTATATTGCTATGTTGAAGCAGTTTTATGTTTGCACGAATCATTTGTTTGTATCCATTCAGTGACAATATATTCTGTCTATATGCTGGCTTTCATACAGTAACATTTGAACTTGTTTAAAGTGTTGTTGAGTTCCTACCTATTTGCCAATTAAAGCTGCCATTTTACAATCTCATGCTGTTTGATTTCCTGAAAATCTGTTAACATATAATCTGATCAGCACATTATATGTTTCCTCACTGTGGAAAAAAAATAGATAAAAGATGATTAAAGTAAAGACAACATTAATAAGCGTTAACACTTCTGAGAAGCTTACTTACCTTATTACTGAGATCCTTAGTTTCCTTTTGCTACCAGTGGCGCTCATGTAAAGATGGCTGCATCGTCAGAAAGCAGCAGCCTCTAGTCATGTAAACTGAAGGTTGTGTTTGTCATGGCTCGGTGTCTTTTTATTTGACTGTGTTTATTGTGTTTTCTGCCATCTAGTGGTCATAATTGAGGAATGCAGATTAAATAACATAAATGTTATGAAGTCCTTGTCAAATAATATTTTATATTTAACAGCTTTTTTTTGCTGTTGAACCAAATCTATTTAAACGAAATGCTCCTTTCCTTGCATTTAATATAATTTGTACACAGAATACCACAATATAATTACATTTTTAAATCAGCACACATTCAAAGCAAATAGATGTAGTTCTAGTGGGAGGAATCCGGGTACAGCAGACTGTCAGAAACAGAGGTTTGAATTGAGTTGCCGAGTAGAAAACCTATTAAACACAAAAGTAAATGAAGAATAATAAGGACAATGAATACTACAATGCCAGTTATAAATGAACACGGATCATGTGTGACCCGAGGCCTGTACGACGAAGCCGGTTCAACATAACATGGATATGTTTGAGTTACCCGGTTTACCTAATACAAAACAAACGCGCTCTCGCTAAGCAGTCCTACAACGCTGGTTATCAGCACGTTAACTCAAGACAGCTTTGCCCTATCTAGTTGCCGCGTTCACAAAAGGGGTGGGGTTAGCAACATTTGACCAATCACAAACATGGAGAAGCCAGAGCCATAGAGATACTAATACCTAGATACCTCTTCATCTGTTTCCTGGGCCCTAAAAAGCAGAGCAAGAATAGGAACAGTGGTGAATAAGGGGAGAGAATACAGTTGGGAGCAGACTGAACAGAGGACATAGCAATATTCATGTTAATGTTTGCACAACAAATATTATGGCACTTTCGTTTATATTGCATTTTAATTAGGGCTGTCAAAAAAAAATTAACGCGATTAACGCATGTGTATTTTTTTTCCTCGGCCGCCCCGTAGTTTCAGAGCGCATCGAGTTTAAAATACCATCTACAAGCTGATGCAGACAGCCCCGCTCCTGCTGCCCGCTTGTGGCAGACCACACTTCCACGCTCACCGGCAGGCACCGACTGGCCATCTGGAGGACCGGGAGACCTTACGTGCATTGTTGTTGTTAGCATCTGGTGCTAGCTAGCTGCGCTAACGGATATAAGGAGCTGTTTAAATGAAAACAGAGGAGCGACATTTCGCCACAACTGCGCTGAGCACTTGACTTTATGCAGGAAGCCAGACAGTGGGACATTGTACGGAAAGTCAGCACACTCAGCACGGATAGTGCGCAACATGATTGCAGCGTCCAGGCAGCTCCCATTCGAGCATATGCCTTGAGTTGCACATAGCTCCAACGATCGATCACACACACACACACACACACACACACACACACACACACACACACACACACACACACACACACACACACACACACACACACACACACACACACACACACACACACACACTGTATTGTATAAGAGAGGTTCCAGGTTGAATTGAGGCGAATATTTGTAATGTTCAGAGGTTGTTGTGTTTAATATTCATGAGAATATTTGTCATTGTTCAAATGATAATAAACATTAGCATAAAGCATATTTGTCCACTCATATGTTGATAAGAGTATTAAAAACTTGAAAAATATTCCTCTAAGGTACATTTAAAACAGATCAAAAATGTGCGATTAATTTGCGATTAATCGCGATTAACTATTTTAATCGACTGACAGCCCTAATTTTAATAGATCAGTTGTCATACCATGGCTGGATGTGCAGCATTTGGATGCTCTAATCGATCTGAGAAGGGGTTCCGGATGTATGGCTTCCCTAAGGACGTAGAGCGAAGGAAGAGATGGATGGCAATGGTCAACAGACAAAACCTGTGTCTGACAACAACAGCAGAAAACTCTGTCATGTAAGTAATATTCACAGAGGTGACATGACTTGTTAACATTTTAAAGGGCATCATATTTCCAAGTGTAGAGAATTATGACTCTTCAATGACATTTGAAGTGTGCAGTGGAAACTGATCAAACCTACCTACTTTGAAGACGACCAATATATTGGCAACAAATCAGGAGGAAATTTGAGGTTGAGGCCAGATGCTGTTCCAACAGTATTTATACATCGGCCTAAGCCGAAAAGGAGGAAATCCACGTCAAGGAGTATGCCTCCAGCTGTCAGGAATGATGACCACACCTATTATGGCACATCAAACATTGGTATGATATATGAAGCTAACAATGTTTCCCATGTTATATAATTCAAGGATAGACTACACTCCTAATGCAACCTTCAGATTATACAGCTTCAAAACTACCAGGGTTCAGGGATTCTCTGAAGACTCATATACCACATGTAGATAATCTACAGATTTCTTCATACTTTAACATTGCCAATAGACGAACTTAGATGAATGTCACTATAGGAGTATAGTGTACCCTTAAATGACAATAGGTGCACATGTAAAGGCAGCATACACATATAACAGCAAGATTGCCTTGTTATTGTTACAGAGATTCAGGGAGATATTGAGGTGGAGTTCCAAGGGAATGAGAGGGACATAACAGACAGAGAGAGTGAGACAGATGTCAGCAGACTGCCAGGGGCCAGTATGTCAGGGGCCGACAATCAAGAGGCCACCTTACCAGAGATCAGTGTGCCAGGAGCCAGACAGTCAGGGGTCAGCTATGAAGAGGCCAGTTTGCCAGGGTCAGGTGCTCCAGGGACCAGACTGCCAAGGGCCAGTTGTGACCGGGCTCACGTGGAGGATCTAATGAGGCAACTGAGAAGGGAGAGATTACTAAGAAAGAGAGCAGAGAGGGCTCTGGTAAACCGGAAAAGGATTAATTCGGTTAATTTGATTAATCTAAAGTTTAAAAAAATCTTCAACACAGACCAAATTAGAGCACTTGGGCAATCAAAAAAAGGTGGGATACGGTGGGGGAAAGAAACCGTGAAAAAAGCAATACAACTAAGGTTCTGTTGTGGCACTACACGGGGTGCCCAACCTTTTTTGAACCGAGAGCTACTTTTAAAGTTGCCAGTCTGCCGAGATCTACCAGTCCAAATAGAGAGGCGTAGCCATTACTGACAGCCTACTACCAGGTAAATACACACTTCTACTTGTATAAAACTGACCTTTGTACGATGAATACCTCATAAAATACTGCAGATCCTTTATCTTACCTCTTTCAAATCTACACACATACAAGTATTTAACTGAAGTTACACAACAGTGTTGTTGATACAGAGTTGGAGTTTATTCACACGTCACATACTACAGTGGGTAATGTCTTCAAGAAACATTGAACAGTGCTGCCACATATGACACAGGGACAAAGAAAAGACTCTGAACCCTTTCTTTGCCATTATATACAAATAGTGTTGCTACAAAAGTATAAATGAGGCTTACTAATAAGACAACTCAGATCTGAAGCTACTCAGGAATCTGCTGCCAACGTGCAATAAAAAAAAAAACATTAATGGAATCAAACCCTTTTTTTGTTGCATTTTAGTAGAGTATAAAAATAAATGCCTTTTAATAGGATGCAAGCAACACTAGTTTCTTAACCTGAATTGATGATAGACTATAATCAATTTAAGTTTGCATTCTTATACCATTGTGTACAATAATTATAATGAATAAGTTCAAACAAACTAAAACTTACAGCAGATTAATAACGGTATCTAACTTGAGTTTTTATTATATCAAAAACCTGTTGAAATGCTTCTGTTATTTTTACTGTCCACCAAAAGCGCGTCGGCAGCCTCCAGGAAGACTTCATGTGTTTCGCAAGAACGTGACTGACACGATAAGATGCTCTGGTATCAGCCTTGCTCTTGTTGTTGGGCCTGGTGAAAATGGACTGCTGTGCATTTAGCTGTCCTTTCAGGCCCCTCCCCTTTTGGAGCGTTGGGCAGAATTAGGAGCGAATTCCGTCTCGTAGCGTTTGTGCACTGTTTTGAAATGCCGCTCCTAAATGACCCTTCTTCGATAAAGCCACGCTCGCATTGCAGATGAGACAGATGGACTTTGAATTGGAATAGATACAAAAATAATCATCCTCCCACTCGGAGTGAGAATTATATGTTTTGCTTCTGCCATAATTGCGGTCTTGTGTGTGTGCGGACTGTCACTCCTGTTGACACGGACAACGTTAGCGAACTAGTGCACTGCCCACTGCTCACCAGCCACGCCCCGACACATGGGGTCACGCCGGCCAATCACAAAGCTTTGATGCGTTCAAGTGCATTATTCTGGCACAGGAAGATTATGTTACAGGACATTAACGATAAAACAGAATATTGTTGTTCTATTTTTAGACACATCTCGCGATCGACTGGGAATCTCCCCGCGATCGACCGGTCGATCGCGATCGACCGGTCGATCGCGATCGACCGGTTCGGCACAGGATATAAAACCCTCCAAGCCATGAATATGCCTCTGCCTGACATCAGGACCATTCAGAGGAGGATGCAGCACGTCAAACTGGAGCCAGGAGTGTTGGGGGAGGTGTTTGATATGCTGAGGCTGAAGGCAGATGGCATGAGTGAGATGGAGAAGAAATGTGTGCTCACCTTGTATGAGATGTCCATCACCCCTAGCGTGGAGCTGCATCTGGGAACAGGGAGGCTGATTCAGCAGATAAAAACCAAAATAACAACAAAAAAACATAATCAATCTAAATCCTGCTTGTTAGTTACCCAGCATCATTGATATATAAGCTGCTAGCGATTCATTACTGAAATCTTACCTTCAAAGCTGACGAAGTCGCGCTAGCTAACTAGCAGGCAATGCTAGCTCCCA